CAGTGCTTTCTGGAGAGGTGGGTTGTGGGGTTGTGGGGTTGTGGCCTTGCTCTGTGGAGGGGCCGAAGGAGTTGTCAGTGCTGGTGTGTTAGGGTAGTTTTGCCCTGAGTCGGAGCGGTCTCAGATCTTGTTCCCTTTGCTATGATGAGTGACATTGTTAGCAGTTGGAAGCTGGAGCAGTTTGTGCTCCAGAAGTGTCTCCCCCCAATTTGGTCACCAGGGTCTTTCCAGGGCCCAGATGCTTACCAGCAGCTGTGCCAGCAGTGGGAGAGCTGGTCGGAGGAGAACAAAAAGCCCAAACCCACTAACAAGTGTAAGAAGCGAGCGGCTTTGCAGGGTTTGCTGATGGTAGGCAGGGAGTTGTCCAAATTGCTGAAGGAGGCTCTTGAGAATGTGCAGACCTTGGAGAAGGCCAAGGAGGAGCTCAAGGCCCGGGTGGACAACCTGCAGGCGGAGGTGCAGGGTCTGTGTGGGGACTCTCTGCGGAACGCGGTGGAGATCACCCGGCTGGAAAACAAGCTGGGCTATGAGAAGCTGAAAACGGAGGAGCTGAAAAAGGAGGTTGGCAAGTGGATTGGGGAGACCCACGATGCTCAGAGCGCGGTGAGGGCGGTCCTGCAGGACGTCCAGCGGGACCGGGGCACTGGCCCCGATCACAAGGTGTGCCACACCAAGATCCAGGAGCTGGAGGCAGAGCTGGGGGTGTCAAGGGGCATTGTGGCTGCCATTAAAGGCAAGAGGACTCAGATTGGGACTGGTGATGGGGAGGACTCCCTGGACCTGCACCCACCCCACTATGATTATGAGGATGATGTGTGGGGTGCTAACAGCCCCACCAGGCCGTCCCCCTATGCTCCTCTGCGGGAGGAGGTGTGCCAGCTGCAAGTAGGGGAGGCAGAGGCTTCCAAAGATAAAAAGGTCCCCCACGATGAGCCAGTCAGCCATGTCCCACTCCAACCCATAGACACCAACAGGGCTGTCCTCTGGTTTACCCCTGAGCAACTTAAGACAGTGGGGAAGATGCTGGGGCCACTGACAAAGGAGACAGCAATTAACTGGCTGTCCAGGGTCCAGCGTCTGCCCAAGTGCCAAAGTGGCAGCTTTGTGAGTGACCTGATAGACATTGTGAGAAAATCCATGAAACCAGATGATTTTGCGTCACTGCCGGGGGATGTGCAGATGGGCAAT